AAAACAAAAAATTGCTTGACCCAAAGTAGACTCTTTGTGATAGTGGGTCTGTCAGACTGCAGCCAGTCATTAGAAAACAATCAAGTAGTACACAGACAGGGTAATCGTTCTGGACAGAGTTTCAAACAGGTCTAAGGAAGTGAGTCACTCAGCCTGCCTTGAAAGTGAATGGAAGCTGGAGACCTGTTTCCTGAGAAAACTTTGAAATCCTAGCTTACATTACAGCATGGCTGTTATCCAACCTTAACTTTGGACACGGAAAGCGTTTTCTTTCTCTCTCTCTTTTTTTTTTTTTTTTCTTTCTTTCCTATTTATGCCAAATTAAAAGTATGAGGTCCTAAAGTGCATTTACACCAAAGCAACTTTCCACTGACTTAGCCATATAAAGCAGCCTTGTAGTAGGTATAAATATGATTTATAGTTACTTTAAGACTCCTTTCCACCACCTGAGTGGTGTGAAGCAATCTTTGTGAAAATGAGATTCAGCTATCCAATTTCCAGAAAGCAGCCAGTTTGTGTTGCTCAGACCTGCTGCTAAAGAAGCAGAAACTCCTTCTCCAGACACCAGAACTGCCCCACTACCCAAAATGAATAGTTCAGTCTCTCTACATTTTTCATCTTCTATTCTACCTGAAAACATTACTTCACTGTCCAGAAAAACCTTTCCAGTCTTGAAGAAAACTCTTCTGATTCTGATGAACGGAAAGAAATAGAAAAGAGATAGAAGGGACTAGAAAAGGTACTTGGGCAATCTTTCTCAAAAAGTGATAAAAAAAAAATAAAGGAAAGCATAACTCATATAACAGTTAACCTAATTTTCTTAAAATAGTATTTTAAAATGGTGGTAGACTTCTTTAGGAAAATATTCTCAATTCCCATATAATAATTCTTTTTAGGAACACAGGGTGTTTTAGGAAGCATAATAGATCCAAGTTGGGTATGTTACCTCTTCTAAAGGAATGCCATCTGGAATAAAGGAAAAAACTCAGGTTTTAGCTTTGTTTTTAATGGGAAATTACTTTATGTTATGACTCATCAGAACAAGTTAATTTTTTCTTTTATCATGCTTTACCTTTAAGCAATAATTTTATTTTAAAGCCCATAATGATACATCTGGGTTGCATTCTGGAAATGAAGCTGATCTGAAACTATAACCTAAGGCATTTGGACAACAACAACAACAACAAAAAAACCTTTCCCTTGTATTTGAAAGCAATAAACTTCTATGCACTGCCTTGGCCTGTGGTAGTATTATAGAATGCCTATAAGCCATCTCAATAGCATTATCTAATTAATTTTCCCGAAATTTCCAAGATATAGGTAGGAGGTTACTTATTTGACTTTTGCAATTGAATGGTAATTAGAAACAGCTTAAACAACTTCCCCAAAAGGTTGCAAAGCATCATTTGCAGAGACATACTTTAAAATATATATATATTTTTTCTTTTCCTCAGGTTCTAATATAATCACAGATTTTTCTTGTCTCTCTTACAATTATGAAGGAATGTGCCCTTTCAATTGACCTTCTTTCATGAATAAAAATAAATTCTGCAACCTCCTTATGTCTCTGCATCACGCAGATCTTGAAAGTTGTGAGAAAATCACTGTATCTCCACATTTTTTAAAAGATCTCAGCCTGTCACAAGCATGTTTGACCGTTGCCAGTAACCCAGGTACTCAGTGCATCACCTCACTGCCTTCCGGACACACATATAAAAGAGTGTGACTCTATATTTCCTTTTCCAATTACTCACAAACTAATTTAAACTGTTTTGCAAGCACTTTTTTTTATTATTATTTTCCCAAATGACAAGTGTATTAGCTAAGACTGTCAGACTGGCTGCCAGCTCCCCAAAGCAAGCCCAGCACACTGTGACCTCATGCACGCAGCATGCAGGATTGACTATGAGCAGGGGGCTCCTAGGAAATAGATGTGAAGCCTGGGCCCTGTCTCAGCTGCCTTGGTAAGCATGTTTTATGATAAACTTTATCTCATTAGGAGAGAGAAGGGGGAAGTCTTGGTCAAAGTCCAACTCTAGAGCTTATGTTGAGACTGAACTTTTCTGCTCTCCAAGTCTGCCATATCAAATTAGGGAGAATAAAGCCGGCTGCTTGCCTGATTATTTATAACATCACAGGAAACTTGGAATGACTTATTAAGGATGGAAATAGTTCTCTTTCCTCAGAAATGGATCTTTCTTTGCCAAGATACACAGTGACTGACTGTGTGTAAGAGTGGTGTACAAATACCTTCCACGTCGAAGGTTATTAAAATATACCTGGCCTCGTTTATCTGTACTTCCATGGTATGCACTCACCCACACTGTGATACCTAAAAAGAGCTCCAGGGAGCCCTGCTCAATGTTCTGAGGGTCAGGAATAGATTTGAAAATGGAAAAACAAAAATAAAATGAAAACACAGATCAGCATGCTTGTTGCATCATTGATAGAGTCAATGAACCTTTAGCATGGAGCTTGGCAAACATTTCAGTCCAAGTTAATACCCATTGACCACATAGGTTTTTCATTAAAAATAAATCTTTTAAGTCTTTCCCCTTGAATATTACAAGAATAGAACTTGGAAAAGCAGTCCAGCTTCAGGACGTTCAGGACGCAGGAAGTGTAATCTGATGGCCACAGCAGGAAAGTTCATGTTGGATTTCTTTTCTAACTCATTCAGTAACCATAGGGCTATTTATACTACCTCTCTGCACCTCTGTTTCAACACCCTGAAAATAAAGCTAACAAAACTGAAAGAATGTTGCCATGAATGAATCTTTTGCAAGGTTTTTGGTTCAGAGATCTTGAATGTCTCGTTTCTGGACAGGATTTTAAATAGGAAAATAGCACATAGTATTCAAAAGGGAGGTGTGCAGCATGAGTGAGGTGGATTAGAACCTGTGACCTCATGGCCCAGTAATTCCAGTTGCAGTAATTATGTCAGATAATTACAGGAAAAATCTGTGAGATAAAGATAGAAATACAATATAAAATTCATTGATGAAATGAAATACGTTCACCCCTTTCCAAAAATTTCTCACTATATTTTCACTGTTTGCATTTCAAAAACACTATTCCAAAAGACACAGATTTGGACCTATGCACAACTTTGGCCACATGTTAGACTGCAATATAAATTGCAATTTATTTGCAAGCCTATAGAGTTGTAAGGAAGTGAGAGAAAGCAGATACTGACTAGAATATTGGGAAACATATTAACTAAGGATTTTGTGTGTGTGTGTGTGTGTGTGTGTGTGTGTGTGTGTTACATGTAACTTACCTTTTCTGAGCCATCTGTATAAAATTAGTATTGTTGACTTGTCTTATAACTGCATCCCTTGCTTCATTTGCAGGTGGCTTTGTGAGACAGAAATATTTCTCAGAGATGTCAAGGTCATTGTAATCTTTGTGAATAAAATGAACAAAACTAGGTCTTCATGTTGCTTTGATTTTCCTGTTCCTGCTGAAGGCAGTACAGGCAGGGGAGGCTCACAGAATAGAAGAGGACTGATCCTCTATTTTTATGTTTCATTTGTTAAATGGATATTTTTCTGGGGCTACACAAACTGCTTATGGATGCAGTTCTTCAAAATTAGATGCAAGTCTCAGGAATAGAATTAATGGTGCAGTGTGGGACATCTAAACTTTCAGGTTTGGTGCAGCCCCCAAGCATGATTCATATCAGCCAATATGTTGGGATTGTGGTTGTCTAAGCTCCAGATCAGAAAATGTCAGAGAGAAGCTTTTAAATTTTGTCTTTCTCCTGAATTTAGGCATTTATCCACAGTCCAAATTAGGTTCTGTGGAACTAAGATTTGCAACCAAAATGCTTTGCCTGCACTTCTCTGCCTAAGTCATCTAAGTGTCAGCAAAGACAACTGTCTCCTGCTTCACTTTCAGAAGATCACCAGCAAGAAGGGGGAGGAGGAGGAGGAGGTGATATTGCTAAACACATTTTGCATAAATCTTGCTATGAAAGTACTTGCCGCCTTCTCTTGACCTATTTTCGAATGAAGTGTCTGTGGGAGCTATGCAATGTGCAGAAGTTGATGCTGTCATTATGCATGAAGTAAGCACAGAGCACAGGGCCATTGGGTGGACTTAGCACAAGAACACGTTGTTTTGCATCCCAGATGGACTGGGAGGGGAGGATGTGCATTTAGATATTCCATTCAGCTGAGAGGATGACATATTTGGATGTGTGCAGTGACATATGCAGTTAGGAAACTTAGATGCTTTAGGACCCTCAGATATGTGAGTGAGCAAATGGAGTATTTTAGATCACCCATCTGGATTTCAGTGTTTAAATTGCACTCTAATTGTATGTTAGATGCCTAAGTGCTGTTTTGGATCTCACCTTTGATTGTTATGTACATTACTTCTGCATAAGAGTTTCTGGTGATTTTACTTTTTTGAGTTTCTAAGTAATGTTCAGATGTAACAGAGAGGTAATAAAAAGTCTGATTGGAGAAAATTATTTTTACTCTGTGTTCTCAAGCAGATAAGAAATGTTAAATAAAAATAGATTTTACCCAAAACAACACTTGTGCCTTTTACTTTAAGTTGTTTCTTGTTTATTTTATCCTTTTATTTTTTTTTTTAAATATATTATCAGGAGCTGTACATCATTTGTCTCATTATGTCTTTTAAAAAGGCTATAAGCACAAAGGGTAAATCCATCAGGGTTAACAAGATGGATACCTGGGTAGTAAAAATGAGGCAGACATACATGTAAATCTCTTTCCTAGGAAAAGAATAAGTAATTCTCTTCACTGACAGGTTTCCTTAGTGTAATTGCTGTAATTGAATGAAGATAAACATCTTCATTCAACATGTAAATTCAGTCCATTTTTTAATTTCTGTTTTCTGATTTTCCTCTGTCTGATGTTGAAGTCTAAGCTGAAGCAATGCAATGTCATTAAATGCAATTTGAGTCCCTTGAATTCTTTGTCGTATGGAATTTTCATGTGTTAGATCTCAAAGATATCATTCTTCTCAGCTGATCCCTCGGTTCATGGTTGGTGGTGTCCAGCAGACAGAATACAGCAGATGCTGAGACAATAAGGTGAGAATATGTTATTACAAGCAATTGAGTTATCCTAGTTCAATGAGTCACATTACAAGTAGTAATCACTTGTGATTTTCTGTCTCCGTCATAAGGGAGCTGAATACTAAATACTCATAGGCATGAGGATTATAAAAAGCAGCGAACTAGCAGCTCTGTCCTCTTTGTTGCCTTTTTCTCTTTTTTTTTTTTTTTTTTTTTTTTTTTTTTTTTTAAGAAGTAGAAGACATGATACATCATAAGCAAGAGAATCAACCTCGAGCTTTTTTAAGGTGTGGCTCTAGTAATCCAATTTGTGGATAATGAGCAATAATCAATTAATCTACAGAAACAGGTGGGGGAGATGGATTGCTTCTGGATTTATTTAAAATTCCTCAAACTTGAAATGAAGACTTGTACAATTTCCTGGAGTTTTTAAGACAGTCTTTAACTGTTAAGAAATTATATAGTGATTTATATGCATATGCATAAATACATATTCATATTTGCTTTTAGTTTTGCATGTTTGAATTCCAGCTGGCCTTAACTTTACTATATCTTGTCCAAACAGAAGAAGTTTCAGAAAGATTTCAGAAAAGTCTGTTCTCACTGCCTTTTCTGAGCAAATCCCCCATGATTCTTTGAGGTACTGCTTGGGTTACAGGGATATTTCCCTTGGCGCACTTCTCTTTCTGCACGGATTATCAGCAGTCTTAATACTGACTCTTGATTACAGATCTTTTAAGATAAACAGCAGATTAGAAAAGCACCAGATTGAACTTAATTTTATTTTTCTTATTTACCATGTAATCCGTTTTTGTAGCCTGAAACTAATAAGTGAGTAGCTACACTGAGGAAATATAAGGAAACAGTATAAAGTTTGATGTTAATCAATACAGTGACACTTCTAAGAAGATTCTATCAATATTTCTATCTATTATATCTATAATATATTTTTTAAATAATAAAATAATGTTTTTATCTATAATATCTAAATATCTAAAATAATTTTTATTTATATTTTCTATTATATCTATACTCATATTTCTTGAAAAAATATATAAATTATTTTCTATCCACAAAATGCTCACTGTCAATAAAATATATATCTTTAAAATAATATATTTAATCACTGCCATTGCATTGCTTTCCAAATTTTTCCACCTTCTGTTGCAGTCATCACACTTTGGCTACTTCTAGAGACAGACAAAGTGAAGATAAACAAGAAGAGATGGAGATCTGTTGATGATGCTGTATGATGACACATTTACACCTTTGTAAGTGTCAAAAAACTTCTTTCTTATTGTCACATTTTTCTTAATAAAGGCAGTGGCTTTGTTGGGAACTGTGTGCATGCTATACCAGGGCTAAATTTGTTTCTAATTATCTGGCACAATTGCCACAGCAGAGCATGCTGCATATGCCAGCACTAGGGAGTTTGTGAGATTGGGAGTTTGTGAGAAGACACATTCTGGATTTAGAATGTGAAAAGCAGCTGAGGAGTTCACCACCAGGCAGGGGTGTGAAAACTTTACTTACAAGTTGTTTTTCCCCACTGTGTCCTCCCTGCAGCTGATAGAGTAATCAAGTTGTAATGGTTTGCTTACAGGCAGTCAATTAGGCACCTAGAGTTACTCCACAGGGTGTAGATTTTACATGAGTGGCTTATTCATAAATAAAAGGAATAACTTCATATTTTGCTCTAATGTTCTCTGTTCATAAACATCAGCACATTATTTATTTCAAATCTTGTCACTCTTATATGGAAAGTCTTTGTTCCCTTGGAACTGGTACAAGAAATACTGAATTGGTATTGTGAATCTTGCAATGTGTGCTTTTGAAGGGATGTCCCTCCCTACTGGAGGTACTTTTAAAGAGAGATCAATGCTTCTGACCATTTGTGAAAAAAGAAATTCAAATACCCTGATACTTTTTTTTTTTTTTTTCATATGTACAAAGAATCAACAATTTATTCAAAAGTAAGGAATGACAGTCAGTGTCCCTACTTTCCTTGGGCAGCTGAACTGAATTTATTTAGTCAGATGTAGTGAGAAAGCAGATACATGACTTACTGGAAACAGAATGTTAACTTTTCTGGTTTATGTACACATGGATACATATGTGAATGTATATATAAAACCATAGCAGTATAAAGATAAAGAACAGGTAAAATATTTAAATATGAAATGACAATCACAAAGAAAATTGGGAAATCACAAATCACTTAACTTCTTAAGTTCCTCCTGCTTTTTTTTTTTTTTTAATATAATTTTCTCCTGAGCCTCTAAGAAGATTCTTCACATAACAAGCATTAATCCCTCCACATCCCCTCCCACCAATCTATACATTCCAGTCATTGTAATCTCTTATCAACACTTTTTCCTCTTCTCCCCACCCCCATGTCCTTCCCCTCCTTTCTCTCACCCTTAAAGTCACTGTGGACTTTAAGTGGCACGTGGGAGGGATTAAGTTTAAGCGGCCAGCAGACAGACAGCAGGAAAAGGCTGTATATACAAATGTGTCCCAGGTGTCCTGACATGTCCTTGCCCTGCAAATGGTCACACTTGCTGTTGACAGGATGACGAACTTCAGCCCAGAATCAGTGTCCATAATAAGACAATGATGTCACTGACTCAGTCCCTTCGTAGACTGTTCTGGAAGAGTGAACACAGCTATGATGCTAATGCAAATAACTGCAAAAAGCATTTATTTTGTAGGAAGATCTTTTCATGTAAGAGACATATTAATTGTTCTTCTCGTTTTTTCAATATTTAATATATTCTTTCTAAATGGTGTCATTCACTTCTCTACCACCATGTAAATAAACGTGTATAAATACAAAGCATCTGTTAATAGTCATTGGGGGATCTATTTAAGGAGTAATAAGCATCTCCAGGTCATAAAAGATTAAATGTCTGGCCAGAAAACTTGTTGGATGTTGACATTCTATGGCTATTGTTATTAGACCTACATTTGCCAGGTTTCATAAAACACTGCCCGTCACTGTACACTCACCCTGCAGTCAGCTTTCCCTCCAAGGATAAGTGAGATTTTATAGCATCCAGTGTACAGCATGGAATACTTATAAGAACTTTGATAAATATATGTAAATATATATATACTTATATATTTTTATGTAAATATTCATATTTATACACACACTATATAAATATATAAAAATTCCAGTTATTCCTGGAAAAAGGAATATGACAGCATGAAAGGAGTGATATAGCAAGTATGCTTCCTAGACTAGATTTTACTTTGGGATCATTTATTTATTTATTTTTCCAGACAAGAATTTATCTAGAGATATTTATATAGAGATATTCAGGTTGGAAACTAGTAGAAATTTATTTTTGGAAAGAGTAGTCAGGCATTGGAATGGGCTGCCCAGGGAGGTGGTAGGGTCACGGTCGCTGGGGATGTTTAAGGAAAGGTTGGACATGATGCCTAGAGATATGGTTTAGTGGGTGACATTGGTGGTAGAGAGTTGGTTGGACTAGATGATCTTGGAGGTCTTTTCCAACCTTAATGATTCTATGATTGCTTTTAATTAGTTTGAACACTATTTCATAAAGTTGTTTGTCTGTTTGGTTGTTTTTTTGACTGATCACCATTTATTAACTTCAGGATTCTGCAGCTGGAGAGTTCAGGAGACATGGAGTGGAAAAGGTTAATAGAGCCATACTCCAGTTCAGAAGGAGTAAGCTGGATGTAAGAATTAACATTATTAATGGCCTCCAGGGTCCTTTTGTCTGAGTAAGCTAAAAGAAGCTCAAAGTTGCATTTCATAGCAACTGTACTAGCTATTGTACATAATTTAAATGCACACCTATGATATAATAGCTTTGACTGAATCCCCATGCTATAGCTGCCTGGAATAGAGGGTTTTCATTTCCACAGGCTTCACTGACAAGAGTAGTCTCGTTTTCCTTACAAACATACTTTAAGGCTTTGATTCCTAAGACAGGTCAGTGCTCCTCTGGACCATGTAGAGTTGCTAGTATTTTGGCCACGTGATTCAGGCCAGCCTAGATAAAGATGGAACTGCTATGGCACTTTAAGCCTTTTCCAGAGAAAGGCTTATTATGTGTACCGGTAGCTTAGGAGTGCCATTTCAATAAGTACAGATGTAGCTGGAGCCTGGAAGAGCAAACAGTACTAGCAGGTAACAGGAGTTGTATGGAAAAATAAATTCACTAATCTGCAGAAAAGCAGCATGTAGAGAGATTGTCTGGACACAGCTCTGAACATAGTCACTTAAAGCTCAGAGTCTCTCAAGTGTCGGAGTGATAGGTTTAGAGATGCTATATATGAACAGCTTACATCTTGAAGGTCAGTGCCTTTTTAAGGGCAAAGAAGACAGCAGAATGTACTGGAAACATTTTTTTTTTTCCCCTACAGTAAGTCAAACAAACAAACAAAACAAGAACAAGAGAACAATACAACAAACATCCACCAAACCAAACCAAACTGCCTTTCTGACAGTGCATACTCTTTAAATGTATAGCCCATTCTGTTTTAATATGTAACAACCTTCTACAACTACTGTTGTAGACAGCTTAATACATCTGTACTTGAAGATGATTTACAATCTCAACAACCTTCTGAGCAACCCAGTCCAGCTTGCACAATCCAGAAGAACAGAACTAGCTGCAGTAAAAGGCTAAAGGGCAGTCCTTTCGGCATGTTTGAAATTATTTGCCAGAATTATTTTAGTGTTTAAAGTTATGATAAAATTTCTGTTATCTGTTTTGATAAAGTTTCCATTTTCTATATATTTTACCCACTCTTATAAAGCAACAATAGAATCAAGAATCAATCCAAAATATTTTAGATGAAAACAACCATACAAGCTAAAATTTATTGAATGAGAGGAAGGAATGAGGTTTACCAAAGGTCAGTTATTTATTTATTTATTTAGTTAGTTAGTTAGTTAGTTAGTTAGTTAGTTATATTTTATTGTTCTGTATTTTACTGAACTGGAAAACACATGGAAAGCACTGCTTAGACCACCTCTGTCTCTCAGAGGCGTTCTATATTGCCATCCACTGAAGAAATCATAAGGCAACAGACTGCCAATCTTAATGGATGGCTCTGAATCCAAACTTTTTCACAGAAAAGGAGCTGGACAACTGTGCGTTTTAGATCCAGATTCACTTATTCCATCTTCCCTTAAACTATTTTCCAGTCTATTGTGTTCTGATATAGGAAATCATAACAGATATCCTTTCTGGACAAAAGTCCAAGCAGAACCAGGCTGGCTGACATAATTCATGTTTCCAGTGTACACCAAGCCTTTTACACACCAGTTTCAGTAACAGTTTGGCATGCAGTCAGTGGTGGCATCATTTCAAGGGATGGAGAGTCATCGGAAAGTTTTTGTGCTCTATTCTCTCTCCTGAAATGGATTTGCTTAAGGGACCAGTGTACAGGCTCCCTGGAATTTCCTTTGTTTGTGAAGAGCTATGTTGCAGATACTGAACAGATCAGACCTCAGCAAGACACCAATAACTTTCGTGTTTACCGTGACATTACATTTTATAATTAATAACTTAGCCCACCCATTGTATTTGAATGCTGTGGCTGGGCTATGAGCAATACCTATTCTTAGGCTAAATACAGAGGATGATCAGCATGGACCAGTCAAAGCTCTTTGGCAGCTCAGTTAGCAGCAGCAGGTACTTATGAAACTGGGTGACTGTGGACACATCAGCTGCACCGCAGTTGTGGGTGAATTCAGAACGATCATTTCATTATTCTTCTGCCAATGCTCTAGGCTGACATTGAGCTGACTACTTTATTTATTTAAGTATTTAAACATTTGAGATTATGTTTCAAACCAAAGCTTTGCAATCTTTCTGCAACATTTTGTCAGCTGGCTTCTCTCAGTGCAGTATCATTGGGACAATAATTATGTCAACCAGCTTTAAAACTGCATAAAAGGAAAAGATAAAAAAGGTGAGACAAAAAATATATAAAACAAACAAACAAATAAAAAAGGTAAACCTTTCACCTCTTCAAAGAGCAGGTTTTCATAGAATCATTTCCTGCTCATAACATCATATCCCATTAATAATACCTCAATTGTTTGAGAGAGTTGGCATATATCCATACAAAGATAACCTATATTTACTAGCATCCAGTAGGTCAGATGTGAATTGAAGTACTCACTAGAGATGTAAGGCCCTAATCTTGCTTTTTTCCCCCTTTGATGATCCACCATTAAAGTACTTCAGAATGGTTCTTGTCATAGTTAACTTACCTTTTCCTCTCA